GTGGCAAACTGAAAAAATGGAAAATACCAATGACTCCAAGATATACTCTTGCTGTTGCAGTATATACATCTTATGGAATGGAGAAATGAAACAATGTAGCAGACAGCAGGATCTCACTTCTTTAGATTCTCTACTTGCTTGCTGCACATCTGGATACTTCCCTGAAGAAACTTATTAGATCAAGGTAGCATAAATTTGACAGTAACTGGAGGGACAACATAAAAAATATTTCCCCCTAATGCACTGCAGCATAATTGTCAAAATGCCTTTACATTTCTGACAAAAAATAACAACTTGCATGACTTATACAAGTCATCAAACATGTGATTTGCTTTATGGCTCTCTAACAACTCCCTTATTTGTCAAACTGCACATTGACTCCCCAACTGTTTCACCACCTTTCTTCATACCTAAATTCAAGACATCATAAAGGGGCAAAAAGTACTTGTAGCTCTGGGCTTGAAATCTCCATGGTGTCTTCTTTCCGTGGCCACTCTTTTCCAGATCTTGCACTGCCTCCTTCTTGTCTCTTTTTATGCTTGGGTCATCTTGAATTTATTTACTAACATTTCCCATTTTTGGTCCACAAATATCAGAGCGGTAGTAAAAGCAATATCTGTGTGTAAAAGTAATTAGTATTTTTGTTATAGCAAAACAATACTGTATTCAGCATTATTCATGATGTAATGAGCTATAAGGAAAACTCAACAGGCATAGGCTTTTCTCCCTGTAAATGACCAGTTTGGGAACTATTACATCCTGCTTTACTGACCATGTAGAAAGGTAACACAAAAAGCTGTTAGCAACATGTTATAGTCAAGGAAAAAGAACAAAGGTACAAAAATCATTAAAAAGAACAGTGCAAACAATGTGTCTTCCTAACAGCCCTATCCCTCTCCCCTCACCTTGCAGATGAAACTGGAAGTGCCATTTATCTGAAGCTGAGTCCTTTTAGCAAATTCCAGGAGAAACCCAGTCTTCCAGCAGCCAACACACTGCTGCACTATGGCTGACTTCCTCACTTCTTCCAGTTCAGTTAGCTTTCTCTCCTTGCAACCTGTATGCTGTATTTTGTCCATGAGGCATTTCATGTAAATTAGTGGCTGCAAGGAGGGTTGCAGCTGCATGAGAGTCAGCTCAGAGATTCAGAATCTCCATTAAGAAGTTACACTGTACACTGGCTTCTGCTTTACATACTCTTCATCCACCTGTTTTCTGTAATCTGGTTCTTCATCACCCGATTCCTCAGGGCCACGCTCAGAGAAAAGGAAGATTGTATCCTTCACTGCTGTGATCTGAACCTCTGGAAGGGCCCCCGTTTGTGCTGGGATAAGTCACTGGCAGAGAGGAAAGAGATGCATATCATCCCATTAAGAAGATGGGAAGAAAGGAGCAAGGCTGTGTGGTGTTTGTCTCATGCATTAGCACCCAACACAGCCATGCTATAATGAAGGACTTGCCCTGAGTGTGAGTGAGAGCATGGCACCAACTGTGCAGCTTCAGACATCTAGGCAGATGCTGCAAGTGATGAGTGGCAGTGGTGGTTACTAATAAAGTCAATACTTTGAGCATATTTAAATATAAAATCTATCCTAGGCATTTTCTAGCTGCAGAGGTAAACCCTTTGCCTGCTCTGTGGCACCATCTAGTGCTTACAAAGTAACAACACTGGGGAAAACGTCCAGGTTATGCTAAGTTCAGAAAAAAAGTAAAACAAGAGGGCATAAATACATATCTAAAACATGCAAGAGAAATAATAATGACCTGTTTTCACTTTTCAGGTGCTAGGGTCTACTTCCATCACACCAGTATCCAAACGTCTCTGCTGAGTAACTCTAATGAGATGTACCCTACTATACCTCTTAGCATCCTGGCTGAGGGCACAACAGAGCTCAGCTGAGTTCATTGTCATTTCTCTCACTCTCAGCAGATGAGCCACCAACAGCCTTACTTTCTTTAAAGTACATGCAGACTTACAGCTGCTTCTTGTGCTTCAAGCTAGCAGCTATACTGCTGCACCACTGGAAATTACGTCTGTCTGATACTGTTTACCTACAGTTCTTGATCTGTCAGAGACACTCAAGCATCCAGCTGTTTACATGGGTTATTTATGAGCACTCTGATGCAGCTAACATAACTGACATACCACTTTCCCTCATTCCTCCTCTGCTTTTTCTTCTTTCCTGCATAGCACTAACATTAACTCAAGCACTAATGCAGTCTAAAATGCATTGACTGCATGGAGATTAATCTTATCTAAATACATTGCTACTACAGCAAATAGAATAAAAAAGCCTTCCTAAGAAGGTCCCAACAGAACAATGAATATCCCAAATGAAGTAGAGCCATAACCCCTATGTAATTGCTCAATTGTTTTGTGTGTTTTTTTTTAAAGCAAACTTCAAGACACTTGAGATAACTAAAGACAGCTTTGCTTCTGCTATCAAAATAAAGACCAAAATAATCATCATTTTTAATAAGCAGGATGCTTAAATGAAGTCCAACAAGATGTGCAAGTAAGATACAAATAAAGAACAGCAGCATGTGAGACTATTGGATGCTATCCTTCTCAACTAATACAGTTGTTCCCTAAAAATAATTGAATAGAATTGAAAAGAATAAAAGTCAGAGAAAAAAAAAAAAAAAAAAACAGAAGGGAAAAAATTGCAATTGTGATATTTCATGAGGCAAGAACCACATTTCGGGAGCTGACTAAAATGATGTTTGTCCTAAGCTACTTCGGAATGACTTCAAGGCATTTTGTTACTAACTTACAGCTTCGAGTATCCTCTCTTGCTAAAGTACTCTCATATTTGCTTTAAAATGGAAAGAAAAAAAAGCAAAACAGATGAAGAACAGCATCTGTCATAGAATTAAAGTAAAGCACCTATTAGAAAGTTTAGTGAGCTACAAAAAGGTCACATAACCAAAGTTTTAAAAGAGCAGTTTTCAAATTCACACCAATAATACTTCAAATGCATCCACTCTTCACTATTTCCATATGAATTCAGCACATCCAGAAATCTACTTATTTATGTACTTCTAACAGAATCAGTTTCCATTCAAACACACGTAGCATTCAGTGCTGTTAGGGTCCCTCCCAACACCTCCCTCAAAAAAAAAAAAAAGCTCACTAGAACAAGCTACACTTTGCAAGAAAACAAACAAAACCTCTGTTAACCTAGAGAGCTGCTTAAACTTACATCAGTGACACTCCAGTGTACAAGGAAATGTCATAGGTTAAGAATAAATCATTCCAAAATCAAACTAAATCGCCCTCTGACCACATCCCAAGTCTTGGTTTTAAATCAGAAAACATCTATGACTTAAACAGAGATTAACTCGCTTCCATGTAATCTTGCTGCAAAGCAAACACACTATCTCAAAACAGCTTTCCCTGCTAGAAATTAATGTTGTTCTTATTGCTAGAATACCCTCCACAGTCAATTGACCCACCATTATTTTGGTCTAGGCACTTCTTTCTGCTTCTAGCAGAGTCCAGAGGCGCACAGGAGGCATCTATTACAGTCAGTATCAATGAACACAAAGCACAGTTTTGTGCAGGGACTTTCTTCACATCCCTGCTGCTCCATCCACATTATCAGTAATTTCTGAATTTTAGCATATTCAGGCAAATCTGGGAGTATTCTTCCAGAGGACGTCCAGAGTCCAAATAAGGAAACAAGAACTTTACTCTGAAGATCCTCCCTCATCACTACACAGTCGTTTTGCTAAACCACAGCTCTGCCTTTCTTATGATCAACTAGTCAAATTGAGAACTTGGAGAATCAACTATTTCTCACTCTTTAAGATGAATTCAGATCTGACAATCACCCAATAAAACATTTGTTTTTGAATACGAGTCTTTGACAACAATCAACCAAAATGTTACAGATGCAAAACGTACACGTACCTTTTTATCCTGTGCAGACAGAATTGCAGAAGATGAGTCACTACCTTGATAACAAAAGCCAGCAGAAAGGTACTGAAAGGTCAGTTAGAAAAACAAAAAACAGTGTAAGTGAAATGGACTATACACAAATACCTAATGGACAAGCTGCAATGACTGACAATACCCAAAACTGAGTCAGCAGGTTCCCAAGATGAAGTCTTCCATGACATAATGCCATTCAGAGGGACCTCAACAGGCCTGAAAGATGGGCCTGGGGGAACCTAATGAGGTTCAACATGGCAAAATGCAAGGTTTTGCACTTGGGCCAGAGGAATTCCAGGCATCTATACAGACTGGAAGGAGCGGTCCTTGAGAGCAGCCCTCCAGAGAAGGACCTGGGAGTCTTGATGGATGAAAAGCTTAACACTGAACCAGCAGTTCAGAAAGCAAATGGTATCCTGGGCTCCATCAGGAGAGGAGTTGCCAGCAGGGACAGGGAGGTGATTGTCCCTCCCCTACTCTGCTCTTGTAAGGCCCCATCCAGAGTACCGTGTCCAGGTCTGGAGCCCCCAGCACAAGAAAAACAGAGCTGTTGGAGAGGGCCACAAAGATGATCGGGGACTGGAGAACCTCCCCTACAAAGACAGACTGAGGAAGCTGGGCTTTGTTCAGCCTGGAGAAAAGAAGGCTGTGGGGTGATGTCATTGCTGCATTTCAATACCTAAAGGGAGCCTACAGACAGGAGGGGAATCAACTCTTTGAAAGGGTAGATAACAGCAGGACAAGGTGAAAAGGTTTTAAGTTGAGGGAGGGAAGATTTAGGTTGGATGTCAGGGGGAAGTTCTTGAGAGTGGTGAGGTGCTGGAACAGGCTGCCCAGAGAGGCTGTGGATGCCCCGTCCCTAGAGGTGCTCAAGGCCAGATTGGATGGATGATCCTTGAGGTCCCTTCCAACCCTGGCCATTCTGTGATATTAGATATGCAATACCTGGCAACAAGAACCATAGACAAATGGCCACAAAATCTGCTTGGGATTACAAAACAATATTCATTTTCAAACGGCAGTGTTTGGCAGGACCTGACCAACAACAGGAAAGTTAGCACAAATATCAGTTTCAAGTTTTATTTTTCATGTTGGTGAAACACAGCCTCTTCTCAGACACAGCATCTGTAGAACTGTTACAAACACTTTTAATAATCTAATATAACCACAGATTTTGGAAAGGAACAAATGAAGCACAGGTTTCACACTGCAATTGGGCGTATTGAGTCATAAGTTACAGATAATTTAGAAAGCATCTAATTTTATATACATTACACTGATCATTGCCCTGTCTTCATGCAAATATAATTTTTCTCACAACCAATGTTATTTTTAGAAACCTTCTTATTGTAAATGGTATATTTTCACTTTAAATCACTTAAATGGTATTTACATAAGTGTGCAAATTGCTTTGAAAGATAGAAACACCTACACATAATATACAGACAGCATCTTCTACAGTTAAACATTTACTAAAAGGCAGATAACATTCCTATCACACTTTCACTGTCTAAAATAGGAGAGTAAGTTATATAAAATAGACCATCTTATTTTCAGATACTTTCATTTCTGCAGATTTGGTCTTTGCAGCAACATTGCAATCAAAGATTAAGATTCCACTCCTAAGATCCAAAGAAGCCCCTTCAATTTCAACGGCAGCTGAACATGTTTAGTACAAGCTACTTTTGTTCCAGATTTTCCACACTTGGCACAGGCTAAAAAGAAAAAAGCTGAGGGAGTGGGGAAAATAGTCTTGCTTTTTTTTTTTCCCCCCAACATGAAAAGCATAAATTCATAAATTTTATTTGTAAGGGTCTATTAGTGTTGCAAGCACTAAAGCAAATAAGTCTGCAAGTTCTTCCACGGTATACAAAACTGCTTGTATGTCTTCTCAGATATATGTAACTGTACACACAAAGAAGTACACTCCTTGGGACCATTCAACAAAACTAATTTCAGAATTGGAAGCAGCAGGAAAAGCTTGAAGAAAGTTACTTAGTGTTCCCAGTGCTTCTAAATGTCCTTTAAAAAAAAAAATACATCACAAAAACTCCCCATAAAAAGTGCATGGTGACCTTTCTTGAACAAATCTAGAAAGCAGAAGCCAGAGCATGTCACTCCAGTCTCCTCAATGGTGAAGAAAGAAGAGTTACAGGAAAGTCTTCAAAACCACCTTTTTTGCATACTAGTAATCATTCTGGGAAAAAAAAAAAAGTAATTCACTTCCTAAAGATCTCATTTAAGATATTCTACAGACATACAAAAATTTCTATATATATCCTTAATAACAATGGAAATTTAGCTGTCAGACAGTACAGAACAAAGGTAAGCAGCCTTAAAAAGCCCTCAAACAGTTAAAAAAAAATCAAAGCTTAATACATTACACAAAGAGAAATAACTGATCTATTAAATTGAGTAACAACTTTAACAGCAGCCATGCCTGCAATCATGTTGTCATTCATGTACCCATTGCACTGAGTGCCATCCACCCCAAGCTATCCACCCCAAGTATTAGCCCTCAAAGTCTACTTTCATCACAGTTACATCTGAAATGCTTGATATTTTTGATGACACCCAATTCCTTAATGTGGCACAAATGTATCAACACTTAATACTGTGGTCTACTGCTTACTGAGCTCTGAACATCAACTTAGCACAGGTCTAGAAAAGGTTCTTCTGAAAAAAGAAAAAAAAGGACTGCAGATGCAACTTGTAGGGTTGTCAACATCTAAGCATAAAGTGGTCAAATGAATGTGGACAATAAAGAAGTTTGCAGAAGACAGCAATTTGTAATCAAATGAAAATGGAGAAGATGCTCTAAAATATGGTTATTTTGAACTTTCAGCTAGCTTGAGGATTGCCATTTGTAAAATCTGTTCTATACTTTGAAAAAAGGAAAATATTTGCAGATGAGATTATTAACTAGCAAATGAACACCTGAAACACTAAGCTTGATCATACTGTTGAAACATTCCACCAAAGGTTTTGCTAAACATTGTCTCCAGAGGTTTATATTCAATGCACATTACCTGCTACTTCCAGTTTTATTTTATTATGACATCTGTCAGAAACAGTGCTAGAAAGGTTGCCAATGCCATCCATTCCTAGTGTGTACATTATAAACACTGTGCACAAACGTATTTTGAAAAACTTAGGTCAATTATTTTCTTGAAGTGAAATGTGTGCATCTATACATTTAAGCTTGTGAAACTGCTCCATATTAACTGGCTTAAGTATTTTCTACAATCACATGGATATTACTTGCTAAATTTAGGATATTAAAAAATATACATATTCCACTGTGGGGAATATTTGTTAACTGAATGCTCCTCTTAGTGATTATACTAGTGGAAAATACGTCTGCCAGTACTCCTTAAATAACATTAAACAGGAGATGAATATCCAGACAAATAACCTTATATTCAACTTTGGAAAAAACCCACAAACATTATTGGTACCAAAAAAGTGCCAGCTATTGAAATCCAGTATTTGAGATTGTGTCGTTCTCCTTACCCTGTGCTTCTCTTCAGAATTTTGGTTTCTTTTTAAACTGTGCTTTTACTAAAAATTTCCCTCCATTTTTCCCCCAATCAATGGAAGGCAAAGCACTGAAGATGTTCCTACTACATAAGAAATATAATTCAAAGATGTTACAAGATGACAGGCATACATGCTTTTTCTCCTCTTTTTTTGTAGCCAAAAGCTGCCCAGTTAACATTAGCATTCCCATATCACAATTGCAATGAAGCTCTGGTAAATCTGGTACCTTTGGATATGCTCAGCATCACAAATAGGTTAGATATTTAACATAACATAGGTCTGTAGCTAGCACAGTCCACCAGAATATTCATCCTCTTCCTCATCAGCATGAGAGCCCACTGTGGCAGGTCCTCTTGTTTTGTCTTGTGTAGCATTTGGAGATTTCTTCTTGATTCCACCTCCTGGGACCACCAAGGTAAGACCAAGCTTGGCATACTAATAATAAAAGTATGTTTACTTTTTGTACTATTATATTCAGTACAGAAAATAGATTACTGATTTCACAGTACGTTTTCCAGCTTAGAATAATGATTAGAATAATAAAGCTTAGAATAACCTCAGTGCTCATTTTTTTTTCCAGTTTTCCATTGAAACACTTTGAAAACTGGGAGATGAGACCTCTATTGATATTAAGAGTAACGGGAAAGTTTTGCTACATTATCACAGAACCATTGTAGAATAATAAAATGGTTTGGTAGTTTGGGTTGGAAAGGAACTTAAAGGGCATCTAGTTTGAACTTTTTTGTCATGGAAAGAGGGTCACCTTCCACTGGACTAGGCTGCCCAAAGCCCCATCCAATTGGGCATTGGATTCTATAGCTACAGACATTCAATCTTTTCAAAACAAAGAAAAACACCAGAATGTCTTCAGTGTGTAGCTCTGCATACGTTATCTAGGTATGGTTTATATTAGTAGTTTTGCAAATGTTTTTTAGTAGAATTAGTACCTTGGGTTTTACTATTCAACATAATAAAATTAGTCACTACCATTACAAAGTTCTGCATGGATGGATATCTCCTTTACTTCATGGCTTTCCTATTCTTATACTTTCTTGCTAGTTGAAGTGCAATCATTAAAAATGGATTTCTTAAAATGGAAAAAGTCTCACTAATTAATGATTTGCTAGAGAATAAGCATTAAAAGAAAACATCCAACAAAGCCATCACATTCATTTTGTAATGCTTGTGCACACAGGGCATTTATGAGACAAACTTTGGGCACTATGAAGAACCAATTAAAAGCAAACTGTGTTTTGGTCAATTACTTAGACTCTGCAGACTGATAACAAACTGCTAGTTCATGTAAGCCTTCCCACCATCAGAATGTAACAACGGTACTTTGTGGAACTTTACAGAAGTCAGGCAGTGAAGTAAAAAAAAAAAAATAAAGTTCACAAGGCAAAATTACCGAGCAAGTCACAAAAACAAAAATACATAGATCTTGCTCTCCATGTTTTCATATAATGAACCAAAACCTTTCTTAAACTGAAAAAGCAAAAACTACTTACATCATTGTCCATGTATTTGAAGAGAGGCAAGTTACAGACTTCAGAAACTTGATCCTGATCTTGCTGATCATACCCTTCCAGAAGTTGCTCTAGTGCTGCACAGTCTTCACTTCCATTAAATCCTGGTATACTGAAGGAAATTAACAGTTCATTTAGGACATTTCAGCAACCTACTTGGTGCTCAGGTGTGATTAATAGCAGAAGAGAAGGCAGCTGATGAGAATCTGATGGACTACTTACTCCACAAACAACAACAATTTTGATTTTTCCTGGAACACAGATCATATTCATAAGCTTCAACTTTCAGCAATACTCATTTGCTAACAATCAGACCACAATCACAGTCAAGCCATGAATAGAGTATTAAAATTTTTCTGATTTTCCTGACTAGTCAATAAGCTTTTCTTCCAATTTATATGCAGAAAAAAATACGTAATGAGTTTCTACATAAAATAGAAATTGAAGACATAGTAAATATGACCAAGATGTTTCAAGACAGATCTTCAAAAACTCACTTCTAAAAATAATGATTTAACTTAGATATATGTTCAAGTCACTTCACTTAAAACACAGTTTAAGTAAAAACGTTATGTTTTAGTATTTTGTGACTGAAGTCCTAATGAAAGCTGGAACAGAGAGCTGCATGAAAGCCTCTGGAGTTTGTGGCTAAACATTAATCCAGACTTGACACCAGAAATTTCTCTTGGATGTATAAGGACTACTTCCTTCAATTTCTTCTATTAAAATGGATCAGCTCCTACTTTCTAAATCATCTTTCAGTTCAGACAACTATTAAAGAAAAAATGCAAAAAGAAAAACTTGTTTTTCTTTTAACATGACAAGAGCAAGATCTCCTCCATCAGCATAACCAGAAATGGAATAACTCACATACTACACATTTTTCTGTATCAACAAACCTTTAGATGAATATTTTCCTCAATCTTGCCACCATACTACACAGTTCCAGTGATTGTACTAGCATGCTACTAATGAGTGTTAAGACTGCATTCCACATTTCCATTCTCAAATGGAAAGTTAAAATTATGACTTTTTAAGGGCTTCAACAAGACAAAAAGATTTTAGTAATAATTATAATAAATCAGTTAGAGCATCCAGAAATCTTCATTTTTAATCCCCACTATTTGTTTACAACATGTCTGCCTCGGTTCCATTTGAAAAAGACATACAGAAGAATTCTAACCACAACAGTATTCTGCTTTTTTTAACAAGGAAAATCAGAAAGGACTTCTAATTTAAATCTCATTTCATCTGTTGCACTGAAGTGCTTCTTTAATGACTAACTTTATGTTCATTAGGAAGTACCACATGGTAATTACTGCTCAACCTACTACTGAAATTGGAAAAGATTCCTGACAGCTGGCTACCTAACAGACAATGCTACTGTACTTTAAGTAAACAGACTTGGAGGCTTAAAATTTATTGACAGAGAAGGCTTCCACTGGTCTTTCACAGAATAACCAAGGTTGGAAAAAACTTTCATGATCATCCAGTCCAACCATCTACCTACCACCAATAGTACTCACTGAACCATGTCCCTCAAAACAAAATCCAAACGTTCCTTGAACACCTCCAGGGTCAGTGACTCCACCACCTCCCTGAGCAGCCCATTCCAGCCCATTTCATAATAAATCTACATTAACTAAACACTCAGCTTAAAATTATAAAATATTGGGCAGACTTACCTATAGCTTTCCCTCACACACCTTTCTGCAGCAACATAATCATTTCTGTGAAGATGAACTAAGACTTGAGCAATAGTTTTCTAAACAAAACAAACAAGAAACAAGGGGGAGGGAGGGGGAACAACAAAAAAATAGAAAGATAATTTGATTCTAAAATTGAACAAGAAAGTTGGAACCACACTGTGATAAAGTAGTAAGCCAGATCTTCAGCTGATATGAAATAGATTACCTCCTCTAACATTGTAATGAACTGTTGCATCAAACTTGGTCATGCTTTTTTCCTTATGTGATTTGCTACACAAGTCACGTTGATTACAAACTCAAAACAGACAATCAAAAATTCTTATTTAGGACTCAAAGTAACTACTTCTACTAAGAATCCTGAACAAATAACATCAAGGTAAATGCAGATCAAAAGACCATCTCATGAAAAAAACAATACAAAGACATCCATGATTTTCACTCTTCCGGTTTCAAAATTCAAATTCCAGAAGAGAAAGCTGGAATTATTCAAATTAATTTGAAGGCCTGTCCAGAAATCATTATAGTTCAGTGTTTTTGATAGCTTCCACAGATAAATGGCATCCTATCAACATTACAGTAATGAAAAACAAGAGGATAAGGAAGCATGAACAACCACACATTCTCATTACCTGGCACGCAACACATCTCTGAATCAAGAGGTATGTGATGTCAGACAGAATCCAGCCACTACCTTATGTTAGTTCAGCACACCTGGACATATCCTACTAGAAATCATCATTTAGATTTTTACCTTATAGCATGTTGGATAATTTTCAATTTCCTTATAAATGCTTTTTTCCTTTTGAAGGGATAATGCAGCCTCATCCAATCTAAATTGAAACAAAAACAAGGAGTATCAGTGCCAGGAAACAAGCATAATGAACCCAACGCTCATAGTGAGCTGTTTAATACACATGTGAGTTTTCCTTAATAAAAAGCAACATAAATAAAATCAGCAGCAGATCTTATTAGCAGTAGTTATATATAAGGTCAGCAATCCCTTTTGCATACGTGCAGGCCAACATCATCTCTGGTATTAATTCAGACAAACCCAACTTTTCACAACATCATACAAGATATGTGCCTCGTAATGCACACTAATAGATTCCTGTATGTCGTGAGGTTACTGTAAGTCCAATATCCAGGAAGTACCAATGGAAACCATAGTTTGTTTTCTAGTTTGAAAATTCCTTTTAACTACTATATTAAATTTCTGGAAATGAACAATAGCACATAAATTGCAATGTAACAGAGCAACCAAGAGTTTCACATGTACTAAAGTTATACTGACTTGCTCTTTCATGGGAAGTTTGAAGTTACTTTATAAATTTATCTTTCTAACTATCTCTGCACAATAAAATTTCTTGGAAATAGTCAAACAGATGCAGACAATTTCATAAAAGAATGATAAGCTTCAGTAAAATAAGTCTAAGCTGAACCACAGGTCTGGTGATAGAAATCAGTGCTTTAAATAAGATGCCATGGAGAACCCACGGCACATTTGCAGTCTGGGATCAGATTGCTGTTAACAGATTACTTTCCTCAGATTAATTTCCCTGTTTTATATTCCACAGCTGTGAAAGATTTCTGAGTACTTTCTACAAGTAAGTGGCTGAAAAAAACCTCCTGAACTTTTTTAACAACTAGTGAAACTGATATGCCCTATAAAGCTGTATTAACTAATAAAGAAGAAACAAAGCCCTACAGCTCACATTCTTTATCTCAGAACAAAAAAATAGATGATTCCTGAATATGACATCCCACAGAAACCTGAATCTTATTTATTTTGAATTTTGTCTCAAAGAGAGACGTAAATAATGGTATATAAACCCAGCAACAAGATAAAAGAACAATGAAACTGCCCTTTGAAATACAGATTCAACTATATGTAAACAAATCTACAGAGGTGATACCTGCGTCCTCGGACTAGAAGTCTTGATGCTTTCCCTAACATCTCTAATGCTTGCCGTAAACGTTCTTCATTCTAGAGAAGAGCAAAAAGAATTCACATGCTCACATTTCATTTGCATGGGATTAAGACCATTAGACCTTAACCTATATTGTCTGTAACTAAGACCAACTGTTCTGCTATACCAACAGTTCACATACTCAGTGGAAACACAGAGTATTAGTGCACCAATGTCCCACACTCATCTTCTGGATCTGGAGAGCAAAGGAGCATCAATGCAAACTTATTAATCCAGTAATATATGTCTAAAATATGCGATGGGTTTAATTTTAAGCAGACTCTTCTTCTTGTGCAGTCCTGTAGCTTAGAAGAGTTTGAAATCCTTGAAGGCACAACAGCCATATTTCCCACCCTCTGGACTGCCCAACAAGAGGGGAAAAACCTTGACAACATACAGAACTCACATTTGGTCAAGTCCCAAAATGAGAAAAGAACTGACTTTATTATGATATCAACAAAACAACTTAAAAGCCAGCCTTAAGACATTTTGTTAGCGTTACAGCTGACCCTAAACACCAATTCATTCAAGCTAGTTTACTTTCTGACAAAGTTATCTGCTGGTTAAAAAAAAAAAACAAGCAAAGCTTACTTCAAACACTGATGCTGCTTGCTGATACAGCTGTACAGCCTTCTCTGGACTCACATTTTCTATTAATCTGTAATAAACATAAGTCATTTCTCAGATGAAAGCATCGAAGAGGCAGGGAAGAAAAAGCAAGGAGATACCTATGCCCCACATTCATTCCAGACACCAATACTATAAGCTTACTTCCCAGCCCGTTCCAGTGCAATGGCAGCTGTATCTGGTGTCCCGTTCTCCAGGTACATCATGCTGGCTTTTTCTATCAGCTGAACAGCTTCAGGGAGCCTCTGCATCTCCTGCAAAGACAGTCAGAGGGACAGCGTTGTCAGGAACTGTGCTTATGAAACTCTAATACCACATGTATGGAGTACACCATATATATAATGGCATTTCAGCTTATAAGAAAAGTGACAAAACACAATAGTACAGAAATGCACCTTCTATATTACCATACATTTGTGAAGAACAAGTTTAGCAGTGAGTCTGGTACACTCTTTACATTCTTCTGAGTAACCATAGAGAGGGGAACTAACAGGCAACCTTCTCAGACACAAAGTGAGACAGTCTAACCAGGTCATTTCCTCTGTAAACTCTGATATAACTAGAAACAATAATTTCTGTTTTTCAATCTTTAATTTAAATCTTTCTGTCTTTAAAATCGAATTTAACTAGCAGCTAGAAGCATCTAAGGAACATGCATTTAAGGATTCTGGTGACATATAACCTACCATATGTCAAGTAAGTAGAAAAGAAATCTTTTTCTTTCACATAAATACCTCAAGCAAAAATGTTAATTCCACCATCCTATCAAACCAGTACTGCTGGAGCAAACAGGCAAAACAAGACTGCCTTGTCACACTTTAGCTTCAAACTGCCAGACATTTATTTTTCTTTCAGAAATTAAAAGATTAACATAATCATCTTCCGGTGAGATCCTTGATTCTCCCAGTCCTTTTTTCTGAATCTTCTTTTACTGATATAATATCAGTTAAAAAACAAACAAACAGTATTCAGACAATAGTGAAAACACTGCAACAGAGCTAGAATGAGCTTTTGTATCTCTTGCTTCAATCCACTGCTCACCTAAGTAGTAATTAGTTCCTTCCCAACGTAAGGCAAGAATTTGGTACCTTACAGCAGAAGTACCACTCTTCAGTTGGCATCTGACGTGAGGCCCTTACCTTTCCTTCTTCAAAAGATAACCAAAAAATGTTTCCAATTAAAAACAGTTTCCCTAAACTACATGAGGGTATTGGTGGGGACTACGAGTCAACAGTAGAACGTCACTGCCATATGCAACTTGCTTGCATATATCTGTAAAATGTAAAAGAGAACTTTTTAATAAAAACTAATAATGAAGATACCTTTAGCATCATGCCAGCTTGTTCATAAGCTCTGCAAAGAAAAAGTTTACAATTTAAATACTGTGTATTTCAGCAAGCTGTAACTACACAGCAAAAGTTAACCTGCATCAGCTACTACTTCACTGTTAATATTTAACAAACTGAAGAGGTTTTGAGTGCTTTAATTTAATGAGACAATACATGTGTACAATTATCTTTCACAAATGAAGCATTTCAACCACACAATCATTGCTCTCCCAAACAAAAATCTATTCCCATCATCTGACCCACAGGCAATATTTAAATTATTTGTCATCACTCACTTGCTTTGAAGTATCTTTATTTACATTTCTATATAAGCAAAACAGTGCAGAATGTCAAATTTATAAGACGTTTACCTAAGAAAAAGCACTTGATACAAAAAGCTATGAAAGATTGTCAAAATAGTTATTTCTTCAGAGAGCCACTGCAGGTTTTTAGACTTTCCTTGCCCATGCTTTCATTAAACTAATTTTGAAATGGTGAAATCACTTTAACTGAGTCACTTACTAGAGACCAAAATGACATCTCATGCTTGTACTGTAAATTAAAAAAACCCTTCAGATTACTCAGTGCATCCATACTTACTTGGCAGCATGAAAGAGACTGGAAGTAACGTTGTCAAGTCAAGGACAAATGCTATAAAGCAGAAAAATCAGTAGCATATAAGATCTTATAGAGGTATTGGTTTCAAAGCAAGGAATCCCAGAAATGCAAATAGAACCTGCTAAGTTTTTAAGAAAAGTATATAGAAAAGTAGCACCTAAGGACAGAATAAATGCAAAATATTAAAGGATAACTGCATATGTAAAAATGCACACTTATTTAAAATATGCTCCCTGGTTACCGAATGTTGCCACAAGCATTGTAATAATGTTAGTTGCATTTAGTTAATATTAATACTATCCATTCATAGATACTTAAAAGTGCTTATATAAATTTATGATGCAGTACTTAAGCATTTCAGGCACCTCTACTCTGCACTGGTGAGACCTCACCTGGAGTATTGCATCCAGGTATGGAGTCCTCAGTACATGAGGGACATAGTCCTGTTGGAGAGCACACAGAGGATGGCCACAAAAATGAACCGTGGAATGGAACACCTCTCCTATGAAGACAGGCTGAGAGAGCTTGGGCTGTTCAGCCTGGACAAGAGAAGGCTCCAGGAAGATCTGAGAGCAGCCTTTCAGTATCTACGAAGGGGCTGTAAGAAGAAAGGGGACAGACTCTCTAGCAGGGTCTGTTGTGATAGGACAAGGGGAAGTGGTTTCAAACTGAAAAGTAGGATATTTAGACTGGATGTAAGGGAGAATTTTTTCACAGTAAGGACAGTAAGGCATTGAAACAGGCTGCCCAGAGAGGTGGTGGATGCCCCATACCTGGAGACAGGCCAGGCTGGGCTGTGAGTAACTTGATCTGCTGTAGGTGTCCCTGTTCACTACAGGGGAGTTGGACTAGGTGACCATTAAGGGTCCCTCCCAACTCAAATGGTTCTGTGATTGTAAGATATTACTCAGAACAGATTTTCTAATCACGAGTTCTTTAGCTTTCCCATTCACAGCACAAGAAGTCTTCTAAAAGAGAACCTTCTTAGACTGACAATATGAACAAATATATTTTCTACCCATTACCCCATTCTAAATAGCAAGTAAATTCTTGCATTACAAAAGTAATGAAAAGATACGCTTTGTTGTTTTCATGTGCTTCAGCTTCTCGTAAACAGGCTTCCCTTGCCTGGTCAAACTGCTTGGCATTCTTAAAGGCAACAGCTGCAAGAAACCAAATGAAGTTCTCATTTACAATTTGCCTTTTTTTTTTTTTTAAAGCACATCTACTAAAGTATTCAATCATCCAAAGATGCAAACAGGCACTTTAGACAAACTGAATGGCTTGCTAAATTGTAGCCAGAAAATTAGCCACCTCATTGGTACCCAATGATAGAACAAGAGGCAACAGGCACAAACTGGAACACAGGAAGTGCCATCAAAACATTAGAAAAAACTTCTGTACTTAGAGGGTGACAGAGCACTGGAACAGGCTGCCCAGAGCGGTTGTAGAGTCTCCTTTTCTGGAGATATTCAAGACCCATCTCAACACTTTCCTGTGTAAACTATTGTAGGGAACTGCTTTAGCAGGGGGCTGGGCTGGGCAATCTTCAGAGGTCCCTTCCAGCCCCTATGGTACTGTGATTCTGTAATCAGTACAGTTTGTAAAAACCAGCAGAGCAGCAAAAGCATACCACTGACAAAACAAACTAGTAATAACTCCCTCAATATGACCAATTCAGGGCACAAAGAATACTGAAATAAATTTCTATTTGTAAATGCTTCACTTGGTCTTTAAACTTCTCCATTTTTTCATTCACTTTTTTTTTTCATTCATTTTTTCTCATTTTTTCATTCTCTGTTAAACAAATGAGTAGGAATGTCTAGCAGTAGGAAGCCAAAGGAAAAAAAAGTACACATACATATAAATTACTATTAAAAATTACTATTAACAGAAAAAAGTTCACAAGAAAAAAAACAGTTTTATATTTAGCGTGACACCTGTAGCAGGAAAGGAGAAAAGAAATCTTACCATGTCCACAGAAAAAAAAAATACACCACAAACTAACAATGCCTCTATTTTATTGAAATTTTCTTAGGTCAGACAATTTTCAAACAATGGTGAAAAAGTGAAGTTTTAAGAACAACTAAAATTTTTGTTGTTAGGGAAGATCATATGATTTGGGGATTGGCAAGTGAAAAGAGGAAAGCTTTACTGTTGTGATATGTAGTAAGATCCAACATATAAGTTGAGAAATTGAAAAGAATAAACAATTTTTTTGCAACTGGTATTGACTTCCAAGTACAACTTGAGATTTTACAGTGCTACTAAGAACACTAAGAACATTTATTTTTCTCCTTCCTTTAGTCTTCACAACAGTTGTACTTATATAGTAATATACTAAAACTAAGTAAAATATTATTGGGGATTAAGCTTAAAGAGTATTTTGAAATCATAAAGCATGTGCCTATATTTACAGTCACACATACCTGCCTTTCCATATTCAGTAGCTGCACTATCATAATCTGGTTTCCATTTTAAGAATCCAGTTTTCAAGCTAAAATGAAAGAAGAAAGGACTATTAACAATGAGTAACACTTATGTTTCACCTTTGAAGTACTTCATATAGATTTAAAACTTCAGACAGCTCTCTGAAAGAGAGTGATTACCCTTGTGCCAATACCATGGTGGAATCACAACTGCAAAAATAAATGGCAGCATTGTTTGGACTCGTATAAAGCACTACAATGACCTCCCACAGCTACATGCCCTGCAATAACATGTTTCTGCTTCAGTCCCTAGAACATCATCACCAGCTCAGATCCTCAACACTGTGAAGTCAAGAAGAGAAAAATACTTCCACCCGAGAATCGTCAGACTCTCTGGTTTGTACACAACTGGAGAACTTATCTACAAGTGTAAAACCTCAGGAATTTTTCCTGATATGCCTATAGCAGCTTATGATACTAACTGCTCCCACACATATATAAATAAAGAGCCCTGGGCAGCTGAGCTGAGCTGGTGGGTGGCAGCCCTGCCCACAGCACGGGGTTGGAACTGGGAGGGCTTTGAGGTCCTTTCCAATGCAGGCCATTCTGTGGTTCCATGAAATATGTGAATCATCAACACTGACTTCAGTATCATACTTTCCTCATTAAAAAAAATATATGCATACATACAAAACCACAACTTCAGAGCCCACTGATACAGGCAGACACTTTAGGTGCACTGCATGCTTAGTTTGGAAAAGCAATTTTGTAAACACTGCATACAAGCAGTCATCATCTCACTTAGGCAAAAGCCACAACACACAGCTCTAAGGCAACCCTTCCTATTGCACTGCTTTTCATCATAGAAAGTCTGAAAGAATCACAGAACAGCCCAGATTGGGAGGGACCTCAAGGATCATGCATCTCCAATCGCCTCACTACAGGCAGGGCCACCAACCTCCACATTTAATACTAGAGCAGGCTGCCCAGGGTCCCATTCAACCTGGCCTTGAACACCTCCAGGGACGGGGCTTTTTCAGGAAAGGTACTGAGATAAAATACACAGGCCTTAAAGCTGCATGCAGTTCGTGCACTGCCTGTTTTATTTCAAACTCTTTCCAGGACAAGCTTAAAATGGATTCCACCAAAAGGCATTCTGCTCAGGTAACGTGAGGAAGGCACCTGGTGCACACTGTTATTCTGAAGCAGCCTCCCTTCGGGACCTCTAGCTTGAAGCTCCCTGCCAACTGCCACACGCAAACGTTAGGCCCTCTAAGTAAAGCGCCCGTACGTGTATCTAATGCCATCTAAAAACAAGCAGACCCCAAAAGCCCCGCCTCAGACAGGCCATACCCCCCGCTGCCCGCCCCCGGCAGCCCCGGCCGCCCGCTGCCCTCCCTTTCCTGCCCAGGTCACGTCGCCGGCAGCTGCGAGCCCACAGCCACGGGGGGATCACGGGCAGCCCACAGCACTCCGCCCGCACCAGCTCGGCGGGAAGGAAAGGAGCCCTGAGGCCCGATCGCTGAGGTGACAACCGCCTCGCCCGCTTCTTCCCGCCGGCCGGCCCAACCCCGTCCCCGCTCACTATTTCTCCGCTTTCGCGATGTGCTCCAGGGCCTCGTTTATCTTCTGCGCCGCCATCGTGGCTGCCGCTACGGAACGCCGCAAGGCTCACGGCGCGTCCAGGGGCGGAGCTTCGCGCTGCGCCTTCTCACTGCGCCTGCGCCGCCGCGGGGGCGGGGCCTGCTGCTGACGGCGGTTGTTGGTGACGCGGCTGGTTCAGGGCGGCGCTGTGTGGTGTCGGCGCCGCGGCGGCGGGAGCTGCGGTTCGGGCGGCCGGGCGTCTCGTCCTGCTCCCTGACAATCTTCAGAGGGCTTTTGTACAAAGACTGCCTCTCTAACTCGTTTGGTTTGTGTAAAAGTAAGAGGCTGCCTCCAGTCCAGGTGGCACAGGAATCTGAGTCATAGAATTAGTGGTCAGAAAAGACCACTAAGATCATCTTGTCCAACCCACCACCACCATACCCACTGACCGCGTCCCTCGGTGCCACAACCACACGGTTCTGGAACACCTCAAGGGATGGTGACTCCAACACCTCCCTGAGCAGCCTGTGCCACTCATTCTGAAAAGAATTTTTTCCTAACAGCCAACTTGAACCTCCCCTGGCACAACGTAAGGCCGTTACCTCTCATCCAAAGCAGAAGGAATGATTGGTGTTCAGGCTTCTGTGGAGTATGGCAATCCACAAGTTTTACACTCGATAATTTAAATAAGAGAAATATTTGTCATCACGAGAGCAAAATGAGAAACTAGTTGAACCTGTAAAACCCTTTATTCAGACCATAGGAGTCATTCAAAGTCCATACTGTTTATAGGAATCAGAGCTATGCAATTTTGTTTTCTGCCTTAACCGGGGAAAAGAAACAAAGTTGATATGGAATCACAGAATGGCTTGGGTTGGAAGGGACCTCAAAGCACACTGAGCCCCAACCCCTCATCATAGGCAGGGCTGCCCCGCACCAGCTCAGCTGCCCAGGGCCCCATCCAACTTGGCCTTGAGTGCCTCCAGGGATGGGGCACCCAAAAAATGCTATGTAGGCATCAGATATGCTGTTCTGAATTGCTTTCCCATCCTTTACCATTTCCAACACTCCCCTGAGGACATGGACATTTACCTTTCTAACTTTAGTTCTTGTACTACACTGGAGATGCTATCTATAGCAGATGGTGGAAAATCACCACTGTGTTTTGTATTATTATTCTGTATCCTGTAACAAAGTAGGAAAGAAGGTAGCATTTGTAGTAGGTGAAAGGCAGCTGTAAAAAAGAAATCATAGAGCTGATGCATTAATAGGCGGAATAATCTCAGAGAATAATCTTCTGAAGCACCCAGTGAGTGACCTGTTTTCTTGTTTGTGGTAGTGTTCCTGGCTGTGTTCCTTGAGATATAAAGAGCTGCTGACTTTTTTTGTGAGGCTACACATGTACACTGTCTGGTTACACTTTATATTGGAATAACCAGATGACACATTTCCAAGACTAGTATTAAATGAAATAGAATATTCCTGGGTAGCTTTTATTTTGTAGACATGGAACCTCCAGAGATTTTACATCTGGGAAGGATCATATCACAGCATCTGGTGCTTGCCTGTGAACTGGAATTTGGTATTTAAAAGTACCCAGGTATAATGTGACAAATTTATCACATTTATCACAAATGTGATAGCATTCAGAATGACAAGCTTTTATAAGTGCAAGTTTACAACTTCTGTTTACTAGATGGATGTGAACTCTGCAAATAGCTGCACCAGTAGCAGCCATTGGTTAGTAATCAGTCCTCAGCTGTTTGTCACTACTCCTTGTAGAGGGTTTCTGTCTCCCATCTGAACACTTCTCATGCACAAATCAACCATAGGCAGACTATTGAAAATGAGCTGCATAAACTATCACAGCTTATTTTGTCTGAAAGAGGTTTGAAAGTACCTGCGTGTTTGTGGGTGTAACCTCTGGCTGGATGCTGGAGGCAGGCAGCTGGGGCTAGCAGCTTTCACCATAATGGAAATGGCTGGCTCCATCCTCAGCCCCAGACAAGGATTCCTTCAGAGAGCTCTTGTGAGTTGTAAGAAATTGTCAAGATGACTGTGGTTAAATTTGTTTCTTGATTAATTCTTACTTTTCTTTGCTGTTAAGATATCACATGCTTGTCCAGAAAGTCAGGAGTGACTGCAGTGAACTGTATTTTAAATCAGCTGCAGAATCCTATCTTCTGCTCCACTGGATCTGGAAGGCAAATTTCAGTTTTCCGAGATCTGGATTTCCCAGCTCTGTCTGACACTGTCTTTTGGCAGCATATGTGGAAAGTTGTACATTGTGATTTATTAGTGTCTGAGCTGGAGTCATAACTACAACAGTTACAGTACCATGCCGAGGAAATTGCCTGTGAAGAAGAGAGAGCGATCTGTGGGCAAACTGCTACTAATACTGAAGGTCTAATGAACAATTGACTCTGACACATTTTGGGCAAAAAAAGAGTGTTCTATGATCACTCTGCCCCAGTGCTAGCACTTGAGTGCTCCAGTACCTTTTATTTTCCTGTCTTCAGAATAATTCCACAGAATTAATTTGCTTGTGAGACTACTTCTTCCTGTCTTAATGAATAAGGCAGAAAGCAAACAAATAGCTCTGAGGGCAGCAAAATTACTAAATACTGATTCTCTGAAGATTTGTTTCTCTCTCCTGATTGCATTTAATTAAATAACAAGACTACATTGTGTGCCCACCTTTTATCAAAGAGCAGACAGTCAGCACACCAGACAGATCTTATAAATGTATCTTCCAGCTGGAGGAAAGAGGTAATCACAGAATCACAGAACCATAGGGTCTGGCAGGGACCTCTGGAGATCACCCAGCACAACTCCTGCTAAGGCGTGTTCCCTACAGCAGATCACACAGGAAAGTGTCCGGATGGGTTTTGAATATCTTCAGAGGAAACTTCACAATCTGTCTGAGCAGCTTATTCCAGCACTCTGTCATCCTCAAAGTAAATATTTTTTTTTCCTTAAGTTCAGATGGAACTTCCTGTGTGGTGCCAATTATCCTGTGTCATTGGGCACCACTGAAAAGAGCTTGGCCCCATCCTTAAAGAGCCTCAACCATTAAGTGTTGATAAGACTCCCCCACATGTAATTTCCTTGGAAATTATGGAAAACGGAAAGCTGTGGCAGATTCAACACACGCTGAATATCCTGCAACAAACTGCAGGCAGAAAATTACAACCTGAAAATTCCTACCTGTTTCACCATGCTGCATCTCAAGCCATGGCAATATTTATTGCCTTCATCTTCTGTACTAATTACAGGATCCAGCTACCTTTGCCACTGCATCATCTAGCTAAGGCTGCTTTAAATTGTCTAATTTTCAGAGTACACGCTTGTCATACTTCAAGTACAAAATCAACTCCAGCCTTTGCAGTCACCCAGCACCAACTTTTGAGAATATCTGCGCTGTGGAACAGCTCTGGTCATCCAAACTGTTTTGCAAGATCCAGGAGGGAAAACTGTAGGGCATGGCAGACAGAAAAGGCTATTTCATCAGTAGCTGCTTCTTGAAAATTAATCTGGCTCTAATATCGTGCCTAAAGCACTTCCAAGCATTTATCTGCTCATTCACTGTTATTTATTTGAGTGACTTATTCATTTCTATTATTTTAGTTATTCTTTAGATCATGCTTGAATTTTGTTTGCCAGCACTGCATTTACCTACAATGCTGCAACTGTGAACATGGACACAGGGTTTTACAAGTGGATCAACCAAGATTGACGCATCCTGTGATCCCAATACATCCCATGTACCCAGCATATCCCAAGGCCCCAACACATCCCAAGGTCCCAAAACGCTGCATAAACCCAGCACTCTCCAATCTTCTATCAGTTCCATTAAAGGGAATTCAGTTGTGGAAGGGGCTGGAGGGACTCACTCAGCTTTCTGGTCTGTGATGCTGAAAAACAAAGTGGAGAAAAGAGGTGGTCAGCAGGGCAACCTTCTTTCTGGTGACGTCTCAAGAGGGACTGGACCTTTCCTACGTTTCAGCCATGTTCCTGTCTTCCCACACACACACTTTTCCTTTTTTCCCTTCCTTCATTCCCCCCAAAAAGACAAATGTTATTTAATGACCACTGTGAGTCTGAGGAAAAAATCTCCCTTCCTCCTCCTGTGTACCTCCATGGACAAGAGCTCAGCACCACCCCAACCATCCCTGTCACTGCAGAATACCTCCCTGCGCACCATCCCCTCTGCTCTCAGCTCACCTTGCTTTCTATAGAGAAAAACAATGATGACAAATTACTCAACCAAAAGTGTGAGGACTACAGAGCCACCTTCCAGGGCTGGGCAATCTGGGAAAAGGGATCTGGAAAAAATATCAGGAAAAGAGTTGCTTTTACATTCCCATATGTGGAAAAGCAAGACTCAGACTTGGAAGATTACAGAATCCAAACGGGCAGCAACCAGTGAGCACTGACACACAATGGCAGAGTCATTGTAGCACAGCGTCACTGGCACAGGTGGGGGAGCCACTCAGCAGCCTGTGCCCTCCACCACTAAGACATGAAGAAAGCCATCAAAGAAACCCAATAAAACCACCTCATCCATGCATATCCATCCCCAAATCACACAATGCACTCACTCAAACTCAAGATTAAATCTCATGGAACAATTCAGCCCCAACTTTCTTCAAAGGCTTCTGTCCTTCAGCTCTCCATTGATGGACATGAGGATGAGGATAGACAGAGGTTGGGGTGGGACACACAAACCCAGCAACACATGGAGGTGTCACCCCAGCCTGACCTGACACCTACAGGTTCCCCACAGCTTCTACATAGCCACCATCATCTTGCACAATGCAGATATATGAGCTGCTATTGGAGCTCACTGCAGTAATGTGCAAATCCAGATTTCCATCAGAGTGACCATCCCTGAGCAGTTCTGTCCTCCCTTTATATTCCTCCATCTGTTCCAGGGCCTCTCCATTTTGGTAGTGGTGCACAAGATCAGAGGACCGGTGCCAGATCCATCTGATGTTCAAGTTCCAAGCATCCTTGCAAGGGGACAAGTGGCAGCGCAGCATGACATCCTGTCCCGCAGTGGCAGTGACAGGGAGGCTCAGTGCCACCACCCTGAGCTGGGCTGGGCAATGAGAAGGGCACGGAGAGAAGGTGAGATGGTGCCT